TCCGTCCGCTCCTCTAGCGCAGAGCTGCCTAGGCACCTCTGGCGGGGAAGTCCGGGGCGTGTCTGAGGCGCGTGTTCGAGGCGCGTGTTTGGGGACGTGTGTTTGGGGGCGCGTGTTTGGGGGTGTCTGCGCAAACCTTGAGGACGGCGCAGCGGCCGTCGGGCTGGGGCAAGACAGCGATCGAGTGCCACGGGATTGTGGCGGGCAGCAGCGGGTGGATCGCCTGCATGCTTCATCATTCTCCTGACCCGCTTTGATCATGCGTATTGGCGTGATGACATATGCAGGCAGCAGCGGCGGGTCGCCTTGTACAGCGCCTCCTTCAGGCTGAAGTGCAGCATCACGGCGGACGCAGGCTCGAGGCCGAGGGACGACGACTCGTCCTGTTCCCACGAGCAGGCTCTAACCCTCGGCCACACCTCGGCTGCACCTCGGCCGCATCTCGGCCGCATCCCGGCCGCATCTCCGCGAGATCTCGGTAAATCTCGGCGAGATCTCGGCGAGATCTGCCTCAAACGCCTCACGCTCGACCGGCGCGAGGACACGACGTGCGAGGCGCTCCGAAGGACGCCGGCGGGCGCTCTCCACGTCGACCCCGACGCCCACCCGCCCCCTCGCGCCGCCACGCACCGCCGCCACCAGTGCCACCGCGAGCCCGCCGCCGCCGCCGCCGCCGCCGGCTTCGCCGCCGCCGGGTTCGCCGCGGCAGCTGCGCGTGTGGGATATGGAGCCGAGCAGCTGGGCGTCGCCGACGCAGCCGGGCATCTCCGGCGCACCGCTGGCGTCAGGGAGCAGAGCGCCGCATGCCGGCGATCCGGCGAGGGACAGCGCTCGGCGGAGGGCGACGCGCCCGGCGGCAAACTCGATGCCTCGTTGCAGCGATCCGCGCCCTCTGGCCCATGCCAGCTCCGACGGGTGGAGCTCCTCCGCCACGGCCCCGAGGGCGCAGTGCAGAGGCTCTGCTCCCCCCTCCCCAGCCGACGGCCCTGGAAGGGTGACAGCAACGCATGCGCCCGAACAATTCAGCAGAGGCAGCTCGATGTGATCAGTGAGGAGCGTGCGCAGCAGAGGCGGCGGTGGCGGCGCAGTGACCGCCGCGCGCACGGCCGGTCGCAGGGCCACGGCCACACGTGGCGCGCCGCCGAGCAGTGGCGCGAGCAACAACTCCATCTATTGCTCGCCGCTCCACCCGCTTGTCGCCCTTGAGCTCGGCGACGCCGCCACGCCTGTGTCCGACATCGTGTGGTGAGTGAGCCGAGCAGGCCATGGGAGAGGAATGCGACTCTCCTTCTCAGCCTACGCGCGCAAGGAACTACGGTGGAAGGCTGGCGGTTGTGGTGCGCGAAGCAAGAGCGGCGGCTGTGGCAACTCCGAGCTGTGTAAGGGGAGAGACCACCGGTCTGGGAGGGGCTTCACTGCCCGGGTACGGGGCCGCCAACGGCTGAATTCTGGGCGAGTGAAGGGGAGTGGGTCGGTGAGTGTGTTGGGAGCACGCACCGAGAGCCTGCCTAAGCCAAAAGAAAAAATTGGCCGTACACAGCCGTCCTCCTCCGTTCTTGCAGCATTGCCGACGCCACCACCGCCGCCGCACGAGCCTGACCACCACCGCCGCCGACAATGCTGCAAGCTGCCGCGCGAAAGGCCGCAGCGGTCCAGCGCTCCTCCTTCTTCAGCCTGCTGCGCGTGAAGGATGTGCTAGTGCCGCAAGCCACCGCAGCAGAGCCTCTCAGTGACGACGCCGTCGCGCGGGTCAAAGAAGACATCAGCCAGAGCGCTGACGCGCTCATCGAGGCGCACAAGCCGCTGCTCCCTCCAGCTTGCGAGCGCGCGCCCGCGCACCTGCAGATGGCGGCGCTGGCGCTCGCGGCGCAGAGGCACCTGCTGCACGTCTCGGCGACGACCGACGAGCTCAACCTCGTCGATGCCGCCGAGGTCCGGTGGGTGGTCGGTGGCGCGATCGGCGTGGTCGCGCCTCCCAACGGCGAGGAGCCGTGGGCGGTGCCCGTCAACTACGTGCCCAACCGTCTCTCTATGGTCATCACCGGCTCGGTGTGGCAGCCTCACACAAGCACATTCTCGTCATCACGCTGTGCATATGCCGCCGCCCTGACCGCTCGCCCGCGGCCGCTCTCCGCTCGCACCATCCCTCCTTGCCCCACCACCTCACTGTGTTTGTGCACCGCGCTCTTCTGCTCTCGCCCACGGCCCACCCACGAGTGCGTCTGCCGCTCGGCTACACCACCAACTAGCGCCTAACCAGCAGCCTGCAACTACAGCTGCCGGACGGCGCAGGTGTGGTTCCCCGGCCGCCGCCGCAAGATGGTGGAGAGGATGCTTGCAAACTGGCGGGCCGACCTCGGCGAGGCGTTCGCGCGCGCGCACGCACGCACGCACGCACGCACGCACGCACGCACACACACACACACACACACACCTCACCCAACGCGCAACTGGGCCTTGCACATTCAATGCCGTGGTCCCCAGTCTTTAGACGTGGAGTCGCGAGGGTTGTCTGTGTGTGGTGAAGTTTACCTGACCTTTCCTTAGGCGTTCGCGACCGCCCCCGCCGAGCCTGCGCCGTCGTGCCGAATGACGAAGTGCTTGTACACCGAGTTTCTGCACGAGGCGAGCGGCATTTTTTTTTCAAACATAGCCGAGAGGCAGCCGAGAGGCAGCCGAGAGGCAGCCGAGAGGCAGCCGAGAGGCAGCCGAGAGGCAGCCGAGAGGCAGCCGAGATGCAGCCGCGATTTGCGCCCCGCCGAGACGCGAGCCGCGGCCTTGGCCATGAGGAACCTTCTCGGAGGTCCTCCGTGCAGGCGGGCGACGAGCACGCCGAGGACCTGACGCCGCTCTTCCACGCGCTGCACTCGGCGACTTTTGCGGGCGTAACGGGCTTTCGCGCCTCGAGCGAGCGCGACGAGCGCGGCCGGTGGATGCCCGTCTTCCTCTTCGACAGTTGATTCGTATTGGGCGTGTCCCGTTTTCGATTGGTTGGCCGAGCGGCACGATTCTGAAATAGGAAGAGAAGAAGATGTTAGTGACTTCCTGTTCCCTGACACTTCCTTCCAAAAAAGAATTTAGGAAGAAAACTAGTTTTAAGAAAGTCGTGCAAAAAAGAAACCCGCGGCATCGCGCCGACAGCCGACACAGGTGCAGGGTGGGACACAGCCACGATTTGTTGGCCCATACGCTCGCAGCGATCAAAATGCGCCGCGCCTGTTCAGCCGAGCTCGCCGACGCCGGCTCGGCGTTCCACGAGCTCTGGGGGCGGACGGGCTGGGAGCGGCAGGCTGCTCCAGCTCCGTTGTGCTGGTCGCCGTCGACGAGTGCCTACTTTGACGGCGTGCGGGCAGCGGGTGCCGACTCGTGCGACGCAAACTGGTTCACGGCAGGCAGCGGAGACCTTGCGAGTCCTGCGGGTCGGCCAAGCTTCAGCGCGCCGGCGCCAGCCGTCCTCGGATACGACGCTTCCATCTTCGATTTTTGCACCCAGCAGGACGTGTCGGGAGGCGGCGGCGGCGGCGGCGGCAGCTGGCAGGCCGACTTGGTTGCGCGCTGCGTCGGCGCCAATCTGAACGCGCTCCGCGTCCTCCGCGGGTGGAACATGTGCTTGAACTTTCGGTGGCTCGTGTGTAGATCCACATTCGGGCAAGGGCTGCAGCGCACAGACCAGGGCCGGCACGCACACACACACACACGGCAATGTTGACTCGAGTGCGACGGTGACAGGTGGCTCGTGTGCGCCGCTCGCGGGAAGCTGCCCGGCCAGGCGCTGCGGCCCGAGCTCGTCTTTGCCACCCGCCCGGGCGACCTGCAGGTCCTCCGTGCATACCAGCGCCGAGAGGGGCGCGGCTGCATCGGAGGCCCGTGCGAGAGCCACTACTCGCCGGAGCACATCTTCTTCGCGGAGGTGTGCGCTCTCTCCGCCCTCTGCGCAAACGGCGGCGAGCTCTTCTCGCTGCCCGCCGGCCAGCGCTTCGAGTGCCACTTCAGCGCAGGCGGCTTTGAGGCGCTCGTCGACCAACTGACGGGGAGGACAAAGGTGGCGGGCTCCCCGCCGCCGCCGAGCCCGCCGCCGCCGCCGCCGCCGCCGCTGCGTTTGCCCGGCAGGTTCCTGCCCGGCTCGCTGCGGGACCGGGTAGGCACCGTCGGCGCGTGCAGCGTTCTCTCGTGTAGCGGCGTCTGGGCGCGCTTTGCGGGCGGCGCCTCGTGTGGCCAGCGCGTCGCCGCGGCCGTCCGGGCGCGTGTGTTTCTTCTTTGTGTGGCTGTGAACGGCGTCTCTTCACGCCTCTATTGCCGTGAACAGGAGCAGCTCTCCCTTGCGGACGCATGCGATCGAACCGCACGGCTCTTCCCTACGGAGTGCGGCCGCTGCGACGGTGCGCCGCCGTCGCCTCCGCCGCCGGCGCCCCCCCCGCCGACACGTGCTGTGCACTCTTCACGGCCGCCACTGCCTCTGCCGTCTCCTCCGCCGCCAGCTTCGCCGCCGCCACCGCCGCCGCCGCTCCCGCCTCCGCCGCCACGGCCACCCCTCTCGCGCGTCGACCCGGCGACACTTGCCGTCCTCCTCCTCCTCTGTGGCTCGTTTGGCTCCGGCTTGCTCAGCCTGTGTGCGTCGCGCAGGCAGGCCCGCCCTCCCACGTGCACTGGGCTTTGCACCTTGAATGCCGTGGGGTCGTTTAGACGTGGAGTCGCGAGTGACTGGCTTGGCCCTTGCCCCACCACCTCGTGTGTGTGGAGAAGTGTACCTGACCTGACCGTAGGCCCGCGAGGCGCTTCGAGCTCCACAGCGTCGGCGAGCCGACCACGGGGGACGAGGGAGGAGCCGCCCTCTCGACCCCGGCCGAGCTGCGGGCAGCCATCGACAGGCTCGCGGCACTATGCTCGTCTCCGCCGCGTGTCGCTGCCGAGCTGTTGGACAAGGTCGAGGCACGAGGGAGCGGGTCTCGGGCAAGGCCTAAAGACTGAGGTGTCGGTCGAGCGTATACTTTCTGTGCCCCGATGTAAACTCCACTCGGTTGGAAAATGGACAAAACAATCTGGCACACTCCACACACGTTTACCCAACTCCTAGTAGAGGTGTCCCGCTTTTATTTATTCACTCCACACACGGTCGACTTGCGGTTGCGCGCTCTCCTGACCCTCGCCACGCGTGCACAGCGTGCAGCGGACGTATCGCCCATGGCTCTGGGCGGCACGGAACACGCGGCCAGCGGCCCGCGAGCTCTCTCCGTGGCCCGTCATGGAGGGCGAAGAAGGAGGGGCCCGGTCTACGCCTCAGAAGAGCGAGGATAGCGCCACGCCCAGCAGCAATGTCATCGACGCCAGAAATACTGCCGTTTGTACCACGGCACGAGACGTTAGTGCGGCGGCATCTCCGGTGGCGGCCGCAAGCAGGCGACCGACGACGAGGCCGGCTGCCGCAGAGGTGGCACAGTTCCAGAAGTACTCGCGCCTCTTGGCGTGAGCGAACGCCTGCAGATGCGGCGGGACGGCACGGTTGCCCTTGCCGTCGGGGTTCCAGCGCAGGCTGACGATGCAGCCTCATTGGCTGCTGCGGCCCATGTTGTAGAGCATGACCCCGGCGGCGATGGTGAGATCCGACAGCGGCCCCAGCCCGCGAGAGACGCTGTATGCGCCGAGCCCGCAGAGCACGGCACCGATGGCCTTGCGGACGCCACCTTCCCTCGGATGGATCATGCGGAGCTGGCTCGCGTAGCGCTCCTCCTTTGTCAGCCGAGGACACGACTCGCTGGCCATTGATTACCTCACCGCCGCGGGGCGCGGCGCGCGACACAGGCCGTGAAAATTTGCCGAGGCCCTGTGAAAAAAAAATGGACCGGAAACCGCGCGCTCGTCACGAGAGGACGTCGCGACCTTGGAGAAACATCTCGTCGCCGCCCGCCTGCGCAGACGAGAGGACCTCGCCCGCCGCAAAGTCGCCGCTCGCGTTCGCCTCGCGTTGCAGCACATCACACCACGCCGCCGAGATGGTCGTCACCCACACGGCGAGCTCCTGCGCGGAGGGCGCGCGCAGCCGGCACGACGTCCTGCGGCTCGCGCAGACGAGCTCGAACTCGAACTTGGCCTGTTCGCACAGCCGGGCGCGTGAGGACGGTGCTCCTCTTCACAGCTCTCGAGGCCGAGAGCATGACGCCTTGGAGCGCACGCGGACCTTGAGGATGGTTCCGAGCGGGATGCGCCGCTCCGCCTTCGTCCGCTTGGCGGCGGCGACGGCGGCGGCCGTGGCGGCGGCGGCCGTGGCGGCGGCGGCCGTGGCGGCGGCGGCCGTGGCGGCGGCGGCCGTGGCGGCGGCGGCCGTGGCGGCGGCGGCTGTGGAGACCTCGAGAGCGACACCGTCAAACGAAGCGCCGGGGCCCGCGGCGGGGGGGGAAGTGGAGGAGGTGGAGGAGGTGGTGCAGGAGGAGGTGGAGGAGGAGGCGCAGGGGGTCAAGGTGGAGCAGAGGCCGGCGGCGGCGGAGGCGGGGGGCGGCACGAAGCAGAGCTCGTCCTGGCGCAGGTAGACGAGGCGGCGGCGGTACGAGAAGGAGAGCCATGACAAGCCCTTCTTCCAGAGGTAGCCGGACAAGCGCACCTGTGGCGAGGGGGCCCACCGGCAGTTGGTCACTCGGTGGATCGACTCCGTCGTGGCGCCCCAGCCCTGAGTGGACTTAGGCCACCTTCCCTGCCGCCCGTCGCTTGGGTGGGGGGGTCCGATCTTGGAAGCAGGTTGCCTCCTACTACTACTCTTCGAAGACAGTACGAGAGGTCTAGAGAGGTGCGCACCCCGTCGCTCTGCGGCGTGCATCCGCCCGTGACGGAAGAACAAGCGGAGGCCGAGCGGCGGATGTCTGAGCCGGGCTCCGCCATGACCCCCGAGTCTGTGGGGGGCTCCGCCAGGACCGCCTACGCCGGCGAGAGAGGAGCCGAGGTCAGCAACCGCGGCCCAGCAGCCTGCTGCTCTCGCCGCGACCGCACGCCTGCATCGGCGCTCGCGACTCGCGGGGCGACGGCTCCACGGACGGGGGGCGAGAGTCCTGGTTGGCGGACGGGGGGCGAGAGTCCTGGTTGGCGAGCCTTCCCCATGAGATCGCGCGGGCGATGTCCACTGCGTCCACCGCCTCGTCCACCGCATCCTTCGCCTGATGACATTAACGAACACCTAATCCCTTCATTAAGCGCGGCAGATCCGAGACACGACGTCCGTCGACCGCGTCCTCGGCGCCGCCAACCGCCGACGACAGCGCAAACTCGCCGCTCGCTACGGCCGCAGCATGCTTCAGAATCGCCGCCCGCCGCCTCTCCCACATTGCCGCCCGCCGCCTCGACGCGTCCTCCACATCGCCGCCCGCCGCCTCGCCCGCCGCCTCTTCCACCGGAGACCGCCCCGACGCGGAAGAGGAAGGCAGCACGCGCGCGTCGATCTCCTCAACCTTGGCCTCCCCCCTGCCGCCCCGCCTGCCGCCGGGCTCGTACTGGCTCCGTCGGAAGAGGGAGGAACCTAATGGACGGGTGAGCGCAGCGTCCGAAGGAAGGCTGTGGCAACAGAGGTGTGCCGTCGGGGGAGGGGGGAGCCTGTCGAGTGCGGCGAAGACTCGATCGGCTCCAGGCGCTGCGAGAGCTGCGGGAAGCGCGGCGAGAGGCTGCCGAGCGACGAGAGGCTGTCGAACGCCTGGCGGAAGGAGAATCGGAGTCAACAAGAAGCCGTGAAGAGTCGCGCCGTGGCGAGAGGCCGTGTGCCGCAGACACGCGCTCCGCCACGCCGGCCGAGCAGGTCGACGCGGCGGAGCATCCGCCGCCACAGCCCCCGCCGCTGCCGCTGCTCTCTCCTCCTCCTCCCCCTCCCGCGCCGTGCGTCGCGCCACTCTTACTGCTCCTGCTACCGCCGCTGCTCGGGCTCGCGGCGCTGACACCACTCTTACTGCTCCTGCTACCGCCGCTGCTCGCGGCGTTGAGCAGCTCCTGCGCCAGCTCCTTCGGCGTCCTGCGAGAGAGGTTGCTCACGGCCGTGCCGCTGTGCGACGCGGCGCCCGACCCTACGGTGTGTGAGCAACCAACATCAGGGAGTGAGTACGGCACCGTGCGGAGAATGCAGCCGAACATATGCGTGTCCCGCCGCTAAGTACCAGTCGGAAGACAGGGAGCCCAAATCCCGCATCTATCCGCCCGGGCCGACGCTCGGCTGCGGGCTCCTCTCGCCCGTGTTCGAGCGCGTCACCGAGCGCGGCCTCTCTACCAACTCGCGGACGACCGGCCGTGCGAAGGCGGCGGCTCCTGAGGGGAAGGCTCCAAGAAGGTTCCTGAATGGTTCCTGTGTCTCACTGCTGGCCATGCGAAGGCGGCAGCGCCGCTCTCTCGGCGCCCGACGGCCGGCATGGGCGGGGGCCTAATCAACAGAGCGCTGCGACTCCAGAGGAGGAAAGCTGGCGCCCGCTGTGAATCCCTCGATCGTGTAGTGTACCTAGAAGAAGAAAGCTGCCGATCAAGAGGTAGAAAGCGCGCGCGAGTCGGCCGGCAAGGTTTGGGGCATGGTGATGTGCGACGGCGACACCTCCTGCTGGAGCCACTCGTGCTGCCTGTTCACAGCCGCGCACTGTGAACGGCGACTCCTCCCGCACACCTGCCCGCCGGCCACATTGCTGCCGCAGCGCACTGGCCGAGGCGCGCGTCTTCGGGTCGCGGTCGAAACAGCGGAGCAGAAAGTCGTTAAGCAGCGGGGAGCCGGTGCGGACCTGCGCGTCTCACCCCACCGGTTGACTCATTCATTCCTTGAGCAGAACGTCGTTGAGCAGCCGCTGTGGACCGTCTCGGGGACGGGCGAGAGGGCCATCTCTCGGCTAGCTCTCGGCTGTATCTCGGCTCTGTCTGCCGTCTCGGGGATGGGCGGGTCGGTGTTGTGCACGATGCGGTAGAGGGCGTTGACCGGCCGCAGCTCGAAGTAGGGCGGCTCGCCTAATCAATCAGCCAGCGAGCAACCAACTCCTCAACCAGCTCGAGGACCGTGCAACCATATCCCGGCCACATCTTGGCTGTCCGCGGCTACATCTCTCGGCTAGATCTCGCCCGTCAGCAGCTCAAGGACCGTGCAGCCGAGCGACCAGATGTCGGACGCCGTCGTGAAGGGCTCCATCTGGATGATCTCAGGCGCCATCCAGTAGGGCGTGCCGACGGGCCCCTCTCCTCGCCCATCGATGGGTGCCCCCGCCTGCAGAGCAGTCGAGTAAGCAATAACCTCCGAATTTTAAGATCCCCCCCCCCCCCCCCTCCCGCCCAAGCGACCAGCGGCCGCTAAGTCTACACTACCCTCGTCTCGCCCCCGCCTGCTCCGCCGCGTCGACGACGCGGCTGGCGACCCCAAAGTCAGCGAGCTTCACCTGAGAGCGGATCCATCAACAAGATACGAGTCAATCGGCGGGAGGCAAACACGGTCGCGGCGGCGAGGGCGAGGCAGCGGGCGGCGTCGGCGGGGGCGGGGAGGAGGGCTGCGGCAGCGGCGGCGGCGAGGGCGCGTGTCGGGCGGCGGCGGCGAGGGCGAGGCTTGCGGCGAGGGCGAAGGCTGATCGTCTCTGAACTGACAGGAGGACTCGCGGGCGAGCACGCACCTGCCCGTCCTGCGTGATCAGGAGGTTGGCGCCCTTGATGTCTCGGTGGCAGATGCCCTGTGCGTGAAGCCACTCGAGCCCCGCCAGCACCTGAAGCAAGGACAGGAGGACAGGAAAGCTGGCGTCGGGGCTCGTGCACCCTCTCTCGATGGTAGCTAGCATGGACAGGAGTGCAGCGTTGTTGGAGGCGGCCAAGGGGCGGCGGGGGGGGGGGGGGAGAGCATGAGGTCTCGGAGGTGTGCCCCGGGGCACCTGCCGCATGTAGACGATGAGCATGTGCTCGGGCAGCCGCCCGAAGGTCTTGAGGATGGAGGCGAGGGAGCCTAACACACACAGAGCTGGGACTCACTGAGAGAGGAATGCGTGCGAACCGGCCCCCCTTGGAGCGAGGGAGCCGTTCTCGACGTACTCGAGGACGAGGTAGAGGTGGTGCTCGGTGCGGATCGTCTCGTAGAAGCGGATGATCTGCGGGTGCGATAGATTCCGCAGCAGCTCCACCTCAGACTCGACGGCACGGGCGGCGGCGACCGACATGCCTGTAGGAAACGGGGTAGTTAGAGGCAGGCTCAGCGAAGGTTTGAAAGGCCGCGAGCGTACGACACCGACGAGTGGGATCTCCTTGATGGCGACGAAGTGAGAGCCGCCGCCGCCCTGGTTGAGGGCGCGGTACACCCTGCCCGACGCACCACGCCCGAGCTCCTCCCCCAGCACGTACTTTGAGTCGAGGAGCCACGTCTTGCCTCGCCCTCGCTCAGCGCGTCTTGCCTCGCCGCTGCCTTTAGCTGTAGAGATGCTGGAGATCGAGTGCTCATCGGAGCTCTGAACCGGAGGAATGGGGAGAAGGCTGCTGCCACCTTGCATAACCACCACGGATGCCTTTTCACGGTTGGTGCCTTACCACCGCGAATGCCCACCACGACGCCCGTGTTATTGGGTTGTTTGGCGGCGTCTACAGTGGGTTGCGGGCATTAAGAAAACGTTGCATTAAGAAACCCTACCAAGAGATTTCCGCGAGGGGAGCTCGATAGACTCGAGGGGCCAGGATACGCCGCGAGGAGGACGGAGTTGCGCCGAAAGGCGAAAGAAGCCGCGAGAACAAGGGACCGGCAGGCGGCGGCGTCGCAGGACGAGGCAGAAGAGAACGACGCGACAGAGGAGGAAGTGACAAGGGAGAGAACGACGAGGGTGGGACGACCGCGAGGTGGCATGAAGGTTGCAGCGAGAAGCGGCGAGAGACTGCGAAGAGAGATAGGAAGAGGCAGACTCCCTAGGGTGGGCGACGGATAGCGCACCACACACCTCTCCTTAAAATCCCTGTGTGGTGGCGGCGTGCCGTCCTCCCATCCCTCCCTTGGGTTGTCTGTTTTCTTTCTTTCTTTTAGAGATTTCCGCAAAAATCTAAGAAACCACGGCGCGCCGCAGGCGCGGCCCCGAGAAAAGGCCAGCCAGACACGAGTCTCGAGTGTGAACGGGAGCGGCCCCAGCTCAAAATTTCTCTTCGCCTGCGGCGCGCGCACTTGTCACTTTCCAAGTCTACGGTGTTCTGAGTGGAGTGGAGATGGAGGCGTGTGTGCGTCTTCCCGTCATCCAGAGAGCCGACTCGGCGGCAGACTCTCTGGCATCGCCCTCGCGGACCGCAGCTAGCAGCTTACCTCTTACCTAAAATCCTTAGGGGGCCGGCTCTGGCCTGAGTGCCGGCCGGAGCTAAGAAACCACGGCGTGGGGTGGGTGAGGGCTGTGGAAAGGCTTAGAAACGGCGGCGTGCCGCCAAATTCTGTTTTCTTAATGCCCGCAACCCACTGTACAACCATGACATGCCTAGGGGCCTAGAGAACACAACCCCCTCTCTCTTTTCTCCCAGTAAGCTAAAAGTACGTACGTACATGTGCCTAATGGAAGACTACATTCCATGAGCATGACTAAAGCCGTACGTTTCCATCTTTTTTAGAAGAAAGAAAACAGACAACCCAAAGGAGGGATGGGAGGAGGACAGGGTCCCCACGCACCTGCACGAGCAGGATTTTGGAAGGGCGATCAGGGACACGGATGAACGGAGTGGGGAGCGCATCGCGACACGGAGCTCGGAGGGGGGCTGGGCAGGGTGTTCACCCACACAACAGGGTCCCAGGGAAGCAGGGATTCCCCTCTCGTATAGGACAAAGTTGCACCCGGCGGCACGGGCGCAGGCGCGGGCCTCCGACTGGTTGCGCTCTCCTACCTACTCGAGTAGTTCTCCTGCTCCTGATAAGGGACAGCGACAGGCTCGCAGCGCGGTGCTCGGTGGACTCCCTACTCCACCGGCGGTCTCATCTCCATCTGGCGACCTGCCTCCAGTTTCTCACTGGCAGTCTCTCACTACCGCACCGCCCTTTCTTTTTGCACGGCGTCGGTGGTGGTGGCGGTGGCAGTACGTACATTTATGCGTGGAAACAAACTGGACAGCACAATGCAGTACTGGTACACATGTTTCACCGTCCTCTCTCACACCTTACCGAGAGGCAGCTCAAACTCGCCGCGACGCACCTGCTCGCTCTGCCAGTGCTCAAGTGGGCGAAGGAGGAGGGCGGCCTCTTCTACCTCGCCCGCAGCGAGTACGACCTCGCGTGCGGGCAGGTTTGAGGACGCATGCGAGTAGAGATAGGCTCAGCCGCATGACGTACGCAGCGGGTACACCGCGCGCGTGTATGTGTGTGTGTGTGTCCCTGTCTCTTATTTGTCTAAGGTCTGTCTCTGTTTGAGGTGGTCTCTCAGTGAGAGTCTATCTGAGGTGTCGCTCGGGTTGTTGCCTTAACTAGATAACATTCCCATATTCTTTAATAGCGGCTAGTTTGTCACAACACGTGCCGCAAGACACGGCGCTTCCAATGAAGCAAGTCATTTACTCGAGTATCTTGGACGCATCCCTCGACGCGAAGAGCCATGCAGTCACTCGAATTACTTGGACCTCTCCTGCAAGTAGAACGAAACATTCTTGGAGCTTCCCCCTACATGCAGGAACGCATCTCATCCGTGGCGACGCGCTGAGCCACCGAGCCGTACTCGGCCGCGCCGCCGCGTCGAGGCACGGGTCCCCAGCCAAGCAGCGACGCCGAAGCGTCGACCGATAGAGCGCCACGCCCAGCAGTATGGGCGTCGACCGCTCTCTCGAGCGGCCGCGTGGCAGTGCGTGGCGCGGGCGCCACGGGCGGCAAGCGTGGAGCCGCTGGAAGAGCCGGTGCGAGCCGTGGACGGCAGACGCTCCCCACGTCGCCGAGAGAGGCTGCGGGAGAGGGCTCAGGAGGCCACCGGAGGCGCCGGGAGGCTCGGGAGGCGCTAAAAAGTGGCCCGGGCACCTCGCGCCACCCGTCTGGTGGGGCCAGGTGGGCTCAGGAATTAATCCAGGATTTTAAGGTGATCCACTACACCTGACCGAGAATTGGATGGTAGGAAAGGTGAACAACAGCGCGTTCGTTATGGGTGGACGCGAGAGAGATCGACACGAACGAGCAGCAGCACCGCAAAAGAATACACCACAAAACATTCGCGGCCTCAGATGCTCTGCGAGTGCGGCATGGGCGACGACTGGGACCCGGGCAAATGCTGCTGCCTAAGCGGCTCCACAAATATCAAACAACACGAATGCGTATCTAGATAAAGACAGACACACACATACACGCACGGTGTACCCGCACGTACTGACATATGCGCCTGAGCCTATCTACTGAACGCCGAAAAACCTGCGCCGCGGGCCACTAATGGGGTTTTGGGGTTGCACTAATGGTCAAAGTACATCTCGTACCCGGTGCAGATGTGCGGCGACTCGGACGCGGCGAGCAGCAGCTTGGACGCCATCGCTGGGCCGTACTCGCCCGCCGCCCGCTCGAGCGCCGAGGCGACCTCGAGCACAGTCCCAAAGCACTGCGAGCTGCATAGCCCGGAGAACTTGAGCACTTCCCACAGCGACGCCTATGCGGGTCCAGAAGGACACGCGTGTGCGACCTAGCATCTCACTAGACTGCAAGAGGGGCTGCAACGCCGCCGTCTTGGCTCCGAGCACGGCGTGCACCGCGACCCCCTCTCGGTTGTCGCCGGGGAAGACCTGCTGCCGAGCGCGAATCCAGAGAGTCAGCCGGCCGGTGCAGATCAGCGCTGCCGCCTCGCGAAACGCGAGGCACGCGTACGCGGTCGTGCGAACGAGGCGCAGAAACGCCCGGTCGTCGAGAAGCGACTCGTCGAAGCGGTCCATCGTGCGCACCCACGCGAGCAGCAGCTTGCGGATCCATTGGAGCTTCATGCACGAGTCATGGCCGCTGGTCGACGCGGTGAACGGCAGCCGCGCGCGCATCGCCTCGAGCACGATGGTGGCGGCGTCGACGACCATCTCATCGGTCCACGCCTGTTACAGATCTGAGCGGTCGACATCTGAGCGGGGCAGTGCCTAGTGTGAGAGAGGGGACCGGAGAGGCAAAGAACTTGGCCTTGGCATCCGCCATGCGCCAGACGGAGGCCGACGCCGCCTCCTTCTTCGCCGCCGCCGCGTCCGCCAGCTCCCTCGCCGCAGCCGCCGCCTTCCTGGACGTCGGGTCGTCCTCCTTCACGGCGGCCTCTGCCACCTCGGCGGCGGCGGCAGCCTCCTCGGCCTCCTTGCCGAGCGCCGCCTCGGCGGCCTTTGCGTGCACGTTGGCGGCCCTGAGCTTTGTGCGTTCAGCCGACTGCCTGCCCTTGACCTCGCCCGCTGTGGCGACCGCCGCCGCCGCCGCCGCCTCGGCCGACGCTGCGTTCATCGCGGCCTTATTTGCCACCGCCCACCAGTCGCACTCGGTCTCGTGCGGCTTGATGGCGTAGTGCCACGCGCACGCGAGCACATACGGGCGGAGGGTCGCCACCTACAACAACACGGCTCGTATCTCCCCATCTCTCCCCACCTCTCCCCTTTCACTAGAGGGCGCCGCGCGCCATCTCGAGGGTCGGCTGCGCCACAGCCCGGCTCCACCGGCCGAAAGCATCTGCAGCGCCCTCCGCCTCCACCGCGGCCTCCGCCAGGCCCTCCGCCGCACCGTCCGCCTCTGCCGCGCCCTCTGCGGCGCCCCGCAGCGCTGAGCGCAGCGCCGCCTCGAGCTCGCCCGCCTGCCGATTGTGCGCCTCAGGCATTGCCGCCAGCGCCGCCAGCTCCTCCTCCTGCCCGAAGACGGTGGCCGCCTCGCGCCTGAAGAGGGCATTGCCGGCGCGGCACGACTGCCCCGAATACGCGATGGCATCAGCGGAGGCGGCCTTGCTCGCGGCGGCGGGGTCGGCGGCGCAGCTGCGCATGGACGCGATGTAGGAGTCTCGGAAGACAAGCGCGGTGCCTTTCGTCCTAAACCCATCCTTGCGGACCCTGCCGTAGATCGGGTGGTCTGGCGCATGGCGGATGTCGACACGCCAGCGCGGGGCCCTCTGGCGACGGCGCCTCTCCCGTCGCCTTTCCGCCTGCTCATACTCAGCCGCGGTGGGCCCCGGCCCAACCGCCCGCGCGTACTCCACCGCCGCCTCCACCGCCGAATCGAAGGTGCCGATGGTGACCAGCCGTCCGGCCACATTCCGCTCCGCCGAGAAGCGGCCACCTCTCTGGTACACGCCCTTGTAGCCGGTGCTGCTGCTGCTCGAGAGGTGCAAGCGCATGCCCTCCGCCTCTGCCGCCACCTCCGCCGCCCCCTCCTCCTCCCCCTCCTCCTCTCCTCCCTCCTCTCCCTCCTCCTCTCCCTCCTCTCCCTCCTCCTCTCCTCCCTCCTCTCCTCCCTCCTCTCCTCCCTCCTCTCCTCCCTCCTCTCCTTCCTCCTCTCCTTCCTCCTCTCCCTGCTCTCCCTCCTCCCCCTCCTCGCCCTCCTCGCCACCCTCCTCCT